CAAAATTTTATATACATAAATCTAGTAAAATTCATTTTAAGCAAAACTTCGTTGTATCAAAAAAAAAATTCATTATAAAAAAAATTTGTTATAAAGAGAGTCATTTTATATATAAATTTTTCTAACTTTAATTCATTAAACGTAATACAAATTTTTAATTACTAAATTCAGTATAATAAGGGTTTTTTTATATTTAAAAATCTGTCTGACACTGAAAATCTGTTCTATTGTAAAATTCGTTATATCAAAATTCGTTGTAGAAAGAGTTGACTGTATAAAAAAAATTATGAAACGCTTTCTTTAAGAAAATTATTTTAAAAATATTTCTCTTAAAAAGATTTATTCTGAAAATATTTCTCTTAAAAGGAATCATTTCAAAAATATTTTTTTTGAAAAAATTATTTAGGTAACACTTTTTTTAAAAAAAATTATTCTAATAACATTTCTTAAAATAAAATTATTTAAGAAATATTTCTTTTAAAAGAAATTATTCTATTAATATTTCTCTTAAAGAAAATTGTTTCAGTAATATTTCTCTTAAAAAAAATCATTTTAAGAATGCTTCTCTTAATGGGAAATATGATTCTTAAACAAAATTTTATCATAATAATTTGACTTAGATTTTAATTAATTATTCTAAGCTAAGCTAAATTAAAATAAAAATGGCTTAGTTTAAACTGATGATAAGTCAAGTTAAATTAATTTACTTATATAAAACTTTAATAAAGGCAAAAAAAAATGCAAAATAAAAGATATACTTATATATTTTATTCATGATTTTAAATTAAAAATCATTACAATCTGTGTATATATTATGCATTATTATAATTTTATATTAGATACTAATTGGTCTAAATTATAGACTTATTTTAAACTATTCTTATAATACCTTAAGAAGGATTAATCATCTAATATATGTTAACTATCAATTGATTCAAATCAATATCTGACATTTAACATATATATTTTATTGATATAAAGTAATATAAAATACAAATTGCTATAATATATCTAAAGTTAAAAAATGATAAACTTTCTCAATATTTACAATGATTTCTTATTATCTATTATTAAAGTTAAAGATAAATATTTTACAAACTCAATCTATATATTCAATATTATGATATTTTGAAAATTTTAGATTATGATAAATAATAATCATTTAAAAGACATATATTTATGCCTTTATTATTCTATACTTTTTTACACTTGCTTTTTTAATAAGCCACAAGAAAGCAGCATATCCTACTATACACTTAATGATTTTTTTTCTTTTATTCTTGCAATGATCTGCTTCATTTAAAAAAATTGATTTAAAAGAATATACTTTAATCATAAATTTATAAGAATTGGTCATTTACAAGCCAAATAGGATCACGTGATTTTATTTGTAAATGTAACGTAAGACACTCCCCCAAAAAATTACGTAATATATGTTCATGGTAAATTATTCCTTACCAAATGTAGGGGAATAACAATTTGCCGATCCTTGAGCCTCAAAATCACAACATTTGATCACATATTTAGCCATTCATAAGAGAATGATCTGGAAAAAGCAAGAGCTGTTAATTGTAATATTAGAAAAATTAATATAAAGAAAAATCTTTTTTTTTTCGAACAACAATTAATTATTTCGTAAAAGAAAAGCCAAGTTCGATTTTAAAATTTCATAAGATTTCATAAGTTCGGAAAGATTACACTTTGATGGATCATCTTGTCGGATAGTCCCGTTATATGTAACAAAAAAAAACCTATAAATAATGATCTTTTTTCAGGTAACATGAAATCCGTATAATTTTCTTTTTGAGAAAAGATTTTAAAATGGGTAAAATTTTTTTTTTTTTATTGATTAATAATTTAATAATTTAATTAATTGTAATCCGGATTTCTTTGATGAATTTTTTTATTAGCCGAAAGCTTTAATGATTTCTTGGCAGGTAAATTAAACATATAAATATAAAATCACAGAGATAATAAATATATATATAATAAATGATTGAATTTTACAGGATATATTAGTGGTGTGGCAGGTTTGCTTGTGGGAAGCCCCTTAGATGTCCTAAAAGTACGGCTCCAAACACAAGGTTTACATACGTCATCTATCAGAACCTTGACAGAAATGAAACAGAAAGAAGGGGTAAATATTTTATTTATGAATTATATCTTTTTTTTTTTTTAAAAAAAAAAAAATATACACTAATAAACGGTTACTTCCTTTTTTTTTTCTTTTTTTTGTAGATGAAGTCATTATTAAAAGGGGTAGAATCACCGATCATAGGGTTGGCATTATTGAATTCAATTTTATTTGCATCTTATGGAGGAATTATAAGAGCTTTTGAAAAATACGATGGTAAATCACCATTTGTTCCAACATTGTCTCAAGTTTATTTTGCAGGATTCGGTGCTGGCATTGCTTGTTTCTTAGCAAGTACTCCAACTGAATTGGTTAAATGCAGAACTCAAGCTGTTGTTAATTCTTCCACTTGGAATGTCTTCAAATCCATCTTATTCACCCAAGGAATCAGAGGTGAAATATATTACCCAATGTTTTTTTTTTTATTTTTATTTTATTGAACAATGATTTGATATCTTCATTAGGATTTTACCATGGAGCGCTTATTACAATTATCCGGGATGCACCAGGATATGGTGTTTATTTTTGGTATGTGATATAAATGACAAATGTAATTTAGCACAAAAGGTTTCAAAGGGATTAAAATTTACAATTATGATTTATAAGGGCATACGAAGGATTGAAAAGGGTATTAGGAGTAACCATGGCTAATTCTAGCGAAAATGTCATAAAGCTATTATTTGCTGGTGGAATGGCCGGAATATTATCTTGGAGTAGTATTTATCCGTTAGGTACGTATTAAAAAGTTGTAAACGTTTGAATGCGTTTTGTTAAAGGTATTAACAATCCAACGCATGTCACAGACGTCATCAAATCCCGATTACAAACGCAAATAAGTCTTCCACCATCGTCAATGAATCTGAACTCGATATTAACGTTAAACCCACATTTGGAAGAATTAGCACCACTTGTGAGCGAAAATAGACCTTATTACAATGGTATAATTGATTGTACTATAAAATCTTACCGTGCTGAAGGAATTTCCGTGTTTTTTAGAGGAATAACGCCTACGCTTATTCGTGCTTTGCCTGTGAATGCTGTTACATTTTATATTTATGAGGCAATGATCAAATGGTTAAACGATACACCAAAGTAACCTTGTTAATTCGAATTATATTTATTTTATTGTAATTAATAATTAATCATAATCATAATGTAATGAATATTCAACCAATTGCTTCGTGTGGCAAAGTATTTATTATTATTTGGTTTGGTTGTGTTTGTTATAGAAATATTAATAAATGGAAATAGCATTTCCCAGTTTGGTTGTTAATTTTTTAGTGTAAGATAAAGTTTCTTAAAAAAAAAAAAAAAAAAGAATTCATCTTTTCTTGGCATTTTTTTTTATTTTATTTTTTTCATTTCGTCAAAGTTATATTTAATCAACCATCCCGACCATTATTATCAATTTCCAACTTATGATGGAGAAAAAACCTTTTTTTTAGGTTTTGAAAGGGTAGAAGTGTGTATGTAGGTGAGAGGAGTTAAAAAACAAATAACATATGCATAAGTCAGAAAGCGGACATATAAAGACATCGGAAAAAATCAGTTATTGAGTCCGTAAATAATAAACCATTATTATTATTATTATAATAATAATCGTTTATTAATTCCTGCATATAATGCATAAAGGTTGGTGAGCGTCAAATATAATTTCCGAAACTAACACCTTGAAGCCCGCAGCAAAAAAAAAAAAATCATTTTTTTTTATTTTTTTAGGATCGATTTAGTCGATCTCAATATATAAATAAAATAAAATTCAAAATGTTCAACAAAGCTCTCTTTTTTTAAAACATTTTTTACTTCGATCATATGGTTCATTCATTTAATCATTCATTTGATAGATATTTTATTTTATTTTTTTTTTTTTTTTTTTTTTTTTTTTTACAGAATTCACCACCTTATTTTACATTTAAATTATTTTAAAAACAAAATATTTTGTCTTCGTCTATTTTTCCCCCACTTCCCCCTTTCCTTCCCCTCAATTTTTCTCAATGTCTACTGATTTTACAACAATTTTGTTAGCAGACTTAAGTAACCTTCTTGAGGAAGGTATTGACTACAATGTTATTATTCAGGTTGGCGAAGAACCGAAGATAAAATCGTTCCGAGCCCATTCCGGTATTCTCCGTGCCAGATGTCCTTACTTTCGCACGGCATTATCCGAAAAATGGGTCAAATCACGAGAAGATGGTAAAATTGAATATAAAAAGCCAAACATTTCTGCCGAAGTTTTTGATGTAGTTCTCAAGTAAGATTGCATCATCAAAATTAACTTTCCCCCCTCCTCCCTCCTCCCCCCGGGAAAAAAATTAAATTATTCTTTTAATAAATTTTTTTTTTCCCTTTATTTTTTTATAAAAAAAAAAATAATAACAATGATAATTTAATTAATTAAATAAATAAATAAAGGTATATTTACACGGGTAAGATTGCGTTAGACCAACAAGATGGAACAGGAATTCTCAGAATATTGATGGCAGCGGATGAATTGATTTTACATGACTTGTTTGGATTCATTCAACAACATCTAATAGAACACAAAGCGGAATGGATGCAAGAGAATTTCGATCTGGTGCGTCGAACCGTATTTCAAAACGATCGATTAAAAAAGCTTCAAGAATATTGTGTGGATAGGATATGTAAAGACCCCCCTCTGTTATTCAATTTGGAGGATTACCTTTCGGTAAACTTAACCGTGCTGTTGAGAGTTTTTCAAAGGGATGATTTACAGCTCGATGAGATTAAAGTTTGGGATTACTTAATACGATGGGGAATAGCTCAAACTTGCGCTTCAACAGAAACACCGGATTTATCCTTGGAAGATATCACCAAATGGTCGGAGGAGGACATAAAAACGTTACAATCCACGATACACCAGTGTATTCCTTTAATTAGATTATTTCAAATTTCCTCAAAAGATTTTTATAGTAAAATCATGCCATATGAAAGCATCTTACCTAAAGTTCTTTATGAGGATATCATGAGATATCACATGGTACCCGATTGCCCGAGACCTTCCTCTTTGATGCCACCGAGAAGGGGAGGTTTCGAATCAAATTTATTAAGGATGAAACATGTCGCTTTAATTTCGAGTTGGATCGATAGAAACGATTTAAATGTTTTTTATAATTCTACGTGTATCCCTTATGAATTTGGGAACATCCCTTACGAATTCAAGTTGCTTGTAAGGGGAAGTCGAGATGGATTTTCTCCTGCAGCATTTCACACAAGGTGTGATTTGCAAGGTCCGACCATCTTGATCTTAAAAATTCATGGGACCGGACAGTTAATCGGAGGGTACAATCCAATTTCTTGGGATTCCACGAACAAATGGGGAAATACAAAAGATAGTTTCCTTTTTTCCTTAGGGGATGGGGAAGACCTAAAGAACATCATGTTTAGTAGAGTTCAAGAACCTTCAAGAGCGGTTTTATGCTCGCAGGCGATCGGTCCATGTTTCGGAAGTGGGGATTTAGTTATGGGGGGAACTCATGCCAACTTTAATTTGGATTTAGGTTGTTCTTGTAAAAGACAATCTTACGAAAGACATTTAATCACAAACCATGATAGATTCTCAGTTGATGAGTATGAAATATTTAAAATTATACCTAAATTAAATGTTAGAACAAACCAAAATTATACTCATAATACTAGGTCAAGTGGAAGGTTTTCTCTCTTATTATCTCAAAATAATTATTTCTCTCCTCAATCTTCACCTATTTCTCATAATTCTCATCCTATTCCTACTCCTCATAATCCTCATAATCCTCATAATACTCACGCTCCACCCATACCACCCCGTCAAATTAATTGAGAGAAATAGAATTAAAAAATAGACAAATTTGGGGTATTTTTCTTTTATACCTTTGATTTAGAAATATATTGTATATTGAATAATGCATATGTATTTAAGTTATCGTTTTACTTGTGCCGAAAGAAAAAAAAACCCCCAATTTTAGCTGGCTAAGTTGTACAAAAATTTTTTTTTTCGTGTTTTGTAAGATGATTAATAAAAAGGTTTTATTTTTCTAAAAAAATTATTTATCATATATATATATTTATCGTTTTAACTTAAACTGGACAAAAGATGATTTATTACAAAAATGTCTTGATGTTGTCGAAACTTGCTGTTTTATTCTAAGAAAGATGAAGGTTGCACACTTCACTTTAATGGTCCTTTGTTTTCAACGAAATCTTTTCGAGTTATCAAGGTTTGAGAAGGAAGATAAATACATACGAAGGAATAGGTCTAAAGAGACCAATAACGCTCTTATTTATTTTCACTTTCCGATGACTAAAAAATTAAGGCCCACGCTTTAACTTTTATTCAAAATCCATAGAAAATTATAAAGACTTCCTCTTAAAAAAAAGATTTTTTTATCTACAACGGTTGCTAAAACTCGCGTTGGTTTTATGGGCATAGGTGTTAACGTTAAGTCCGTATTTAAGGTGATAATGACACGTGAAAAAAAAGCAAATCGTTGAGCAGAAGGAAATTAACTGTGGTAAAAGGTTATTAAAGGTTTATTATATATAGATAAGTAGCATACAACATTATTATGGGAGATGCATATGGGCTGAAAGCATCACAAGACAAATCCTTATCAATCAATAGGGTTATGAATATATATATATATATATAAAAAAGCATGTTGACACTTTTTGATCCTAAATTAGTTCACATAATATGACATTAAAAAAATAAATAACCCCTTATCTCTTTAGATTGAATTTTTTTTTTTTCATCCCAGACTTTTATTCTCTCATTACTATTATTAAAATGAAAAAAGAAAATAGATGAAATAATCAACTTTTTAATTTATTTTATACAATCATATTATTCATATTATTAAATATTCTAATAATCTAATGTACAAAAAAGAGGGGAATAAGAATTCACTATATAACTTAAAGCGTAGCGTATAATATTTTCGTCAAAGGTGGGGGAAAAAAATAATAATAAAATAAAAATACAATACACATAAAATACAAGCATAATAAAAAAAATCTAGATTACATGACGTACGAATTCCGAAATTTTTACAGGTTTATCTTGTAAGTAGGCACCAACCAGACGATAATCGTAACCCAAATAATGAGTCCACCAACGGACGTATAATGTCTCAAGAGGGGCGGTAGTATTTTGTAAAAATAATTGCATCGGATTATCACCTATGTATATCCAAATATTCAGGTGACGTAGGGTGACGGGCATTAGACCACCCAAATCCCTCCAAAGAGCCTCATCATCCCACGAGATACGATCCATTCGAAATATGCTCAGACTCTTTAATTTACATTCGGATGATGTTAGGATGTCAACCAAATGATTTATTTGTACTTTGGCAATCGGAACTCCTAATCTGATGATCTTTGGACAATTTTGAGCCACCGCTTCAATAATTGTAGGTGATATGGTATGATGTTGTTGATTATCAACGGGTTTATAATACACCTCTTCCAGATGTGTTGGATTATTTTGTATTAAGGAAACCACCACATTATCCCAACTATAAGTAGATTCTACGATATGTATTTTACAAAGTGATGGAAACGTTGCACACATCAAAGGTGCAAGGATCTCATCCGTCGCGAATGAGCAATTCTTGATTACCAACTCTTCTAAATTTATACAAGCCGCCAACCCTTCCAAGATCGATCCCGTTGATAAGGAGGTGGAGATGGAAGAGGATGATGATGATGGATAATTTGAATTATTAAAGTGAACATAAATAATTTCAATCGAGATTAGATGATTGGCTTGGGATCCAAGTGACGCGAGTGTTAATGCGGGATAAGTAGAATATCCAAACAGTTTAATACGTCTCAGATTATTTTGTATGCTAATTAACGATGCTAAATTCTGCTCATCTTCGGGATGCGGAGCTTGATTAAAGGAGTAATCTACAACCTCTAAAGTTTCAATATTCTTGGCATATTTCGATAAATACCCAAAGATTGACCAATCTGTTATATAATGAATGGACAGCCTTCTCAATTGAGCAAGGTACGTATCAATTCCGGCGGAATAAAGCAACAAAGGATATGCTTTCCAGATTTCTTTATTACCCCAATCAAGGGAGAGGGATCGAATGCTCGACCGACGGCTAAAAAATAATGTGCAAAGAGTTCGGTATACCAACAAGCTAGGTTCCGTGTTGAATGGACTATGTCTAAATAAAATGTTAAATACGTATTGTAATGTTGTATGTGTATATGTATATATATATGTATTTATTTACATATACAGATATCATTTTTTTTTTTTTGTTTATTTAGAAAAAAAAAAAAAAAAAGGAAGAAAAAAAAGTTTCAATTAATGATTATGATCGATGAATTAGCAAAAGTTGGATAATTTGATTTATTTATTTATTATTTTTCTCTTTTTTTAGTACCGTTTCGGGGAGGCAGAATATTTTGTTTGGGTACGATCTGTCCATCTTTGAACTATGCTATAAAGGTTTCCCATGCTAAGATGACGTAAAAAGGAGATATAGTCAAATACCGGAACTCGTCTGCGATTAGAGATTCCAATAATGTCATTATTGACGAGATAAGCCTTTTCAAGTTCCGTGAGACAAGTTAAGTAAACATCTATTATGGTCGATGGTGTTAAATCTTGAAAAGGTTGAGACCATAATGAAGGAACTGAATTTTCACACCAGATTCTATTAACCAAAGCGCAAGATTGTAATGTCTTGTAATCATCTTCTAGGTGTGAAAATATTTCAATGAGTACGTCCGCTGGAAGTTTTAATTTGTTAACCTTTCGTTGTCGAGAAACTGATGAATTCGTGAGGGTAAATTGGTCATTGTTAACAGCCCCTTTGCCCTTTAATAAATTAGTCAAATTTCCCTTCAATGCACTTAAGCGTCGACGCATTTTATAATCCGATTCATTTGTTTTTTAATAATTATAAAGTTGGATTGAGTCTTTATAGGGTATTGGAATAAAAAAAAAAAAATATTAATAATAAATTTCAATCTCAAAAGGATATCAAATAGTCAAAAAAATTTTTTTTTTATTTTATAAAAGAAAGGATTAGTGATAAAAGGAGAGAGAGAGAGAGAAAAAAAAAAAAAAAAAAAAATAAATGATTGTTTAGGAAAGCGAAGGTCAAAATTTTTAATTTATACAACACAACGAGCCACATTTGGGAGAAATAATTCCGCCTTTTGCGCCGAATTGTACAACACATTCCACACTCGCAATTTATCTCGTGGAGCCTGTCAATCCCAAGTTTGGTTAGTGAGACCAGACAAGGAATCCACAAATCAGGGATTAATTTATGCGTATTGCTGCGCGGACATATGTTTAAGCAATAATTGTAGGGAATTTCTATCGGTGGTGTTCTTCCGATAAATAAACATCTCTTTTTTTTTTTTTTAAAAGAGAAAAATTAAAATTTTATATTTTGGGAAGTGGCTTGAAAAAAAAAAAAACCCTTAAAAAAATCAAGATTAGATCGACAAAAATCTTGACTTCACAATTCGTTAGTTTTAACTTTAGTTAATCCCGACATTATAAATCTAAATTTACTCAATGTCTTGTTATAAATTGGGTGGTGCTTTTTTTTTATGACACCTACCGTGTGGCGCTTTATTTAATTTTTAAATTATCGAATTGAAAATCATAAATTAATTTCCGGATTATTATATGTCCTTAGTTTCGTTACAATTTCTTCCAAACAAAATATATATCTTTTAAAAATATTTCGTACATATTACTGTCAGAATAAAAATTATTTTTATCCGTAGTTAATTTGTTCGAATATTTGAAAACTCAACATTTCACGATTTTTTTTTTTTTTTTTATTTACAAATAATTCATATGTACTTCACGTAATTATTTACAATTAAAAAATAATTCGCATGTAGAAATCAGTAGAATGTCAAAGAATGTTTATAGTGAAGGTGAATTTTCTTCCTCCTTTAATCCACGAAAATTCGAAACTTATCTACGTTATTATTACATTTATTAAAGAAAAAAATATACTAATCTAAATAAAAGTATATTGATTTCTCTCATTAGAATATGAATGATTTTACTATGATGTCACACTAAAGCTGATTTTAATATTAGCATTGGCAGCAACAAATTGGTGAAATAGTTGTTTTAGAATTACTTTTCTTCCTTTAAACTCATAATCATTTACTTTAATTTTGGATGTGTCATCTACAGCAATTTCATCTAAACATCTATCCAATAAATCAACATTTTGTTTCGTTGAAACTAGTAAAGGGTCAAGTTGTTTTGAAACATTGATTGATTTATGAAAATTATTATGTGACTTTTTTGTCCATATACCTAATAAAATAGTTAATAAACATCCGAATGAAACCTAAATTTTTTAATGGCATTGTAAGTTTTTTTTTGTTTTTCTAAAAATAAAATAAAATAATAAATAAAGCTTTTCCTTCGATTTACCTTGAGACGATTAGAAGAAACTGCACGAGCCGCACTTTTATTGGAGAGGTACAACGTAGGAATTGATAACATCGCGGCTCTAAAGAAATTAAAGAAAAAGTTAATAAAATAAAAAAATCGTGCAAATCGATCATCTGCAAAAATGTATGCTATTATTACATGGAACCATAAAACAAGACGTTTGAAGTTCGCTTGGGTTTCTTCCATTGTCTGATATTATAATTTATTCTGTATTGTGCAATTTCAACCTCTTCTTGTAATTGTTTAACTATCGGATGAAGTTTACTTAAAGAATCTAGCAAAAATGAAAAATTTTAAAATAGAATTTTTTTTTTCTTCAAAAAAAAAAAAATGAAGATAGTAGCTCACCCTCAATATTTGTGATCTTTTCCATAGTTATAAGATGTTCCTCTTCAGAAGTATGTCTCATGGTGGGCACTTCATCTCTAATATCTTTGACTTTTCGAATATTAACAAATGGAGACCAACTAGGAGATTTAAATTCTCCATATAATTCATTAAGATAAATCAAATTTCTTATAACAGCAAATAAACGATAAACGAAAGTAGAAAACACCGATGAGGCTTCCTGGTATCGATGCCGACAACAATAAAAAAAAAAGGATAAGAATATAGATATAAATCCTTAAAAATAGAAATTACATACTTAATATAACTTACGTTAGATCTAGCCTCAATTTTACGATCTTCAATTAAAGAATTTAAAACTTCAACAAATAATTTTCCAATTTCTTCATCAAAATGATATTGAATTTCAAACACGACAGCTATCATAATAAGATCATTGATTTCGTGATAAATTTTTATACTTGGACCGGGAAATAATTTTTCCAAGGCTAAATCAATTTTATTTTCATAGATTTCATCAATAATCATTTCTAATAACCTTGGATCAATATCATCATCAAAAGATCTTAATTTTGTCGTAGTAAGAATATTTCCACGTCTTTCACATCGTGAATTACGTTCAATATTAATATAAGATTTACTATCAAGCGGTACCCAATCTGCGAATCCATTTTGTGTTAAATCCTTTATTGATTGTGAAGAACGTAGGTGTTCAATTACATCTCGATGTTTTTGTGATTTAAAACAAATTCTAATCTGTTAAAATAAAATAAAATAATTTTAAAACTTTTTTTTTTTTTTTTTTTTTTTTTTTTAAAAAAAAAAAACTAAAATTTTATACCTTGACATTTTCATTCAATGAAACATAAGCTTCATCCGATTCATCTTTAGAATCGTCTATATAAGTAACAGTTGTAGATTCACCACCCCCAACCGAGGCAATAATTTCCTTACGCAACTCTTCAAAAGACCTCTAAAAAAAACCATCGAATATTGTTAGTTTAACGTTAAATAAACAAAATTCCTTAAATTTGAAATATGAAACATACGGTCAAATTATAAACTTTAAATAATACAAACTGCATATTAGCTTCTCCATTCGCATTATCCTCGACATAATGAAATAGCCCATTATAAAAAATGATTGTTTTAGTAATTTTTGCAGGTTTACGGAGACTTGTCATTTTTTTTTTTTTTTTTAAAGAAAAAAAAATATATATTAAAAAAGAGGAGTTATATTTGTTTTTTATCTTTCAAAGTTGTAGAGAAGAGGGGGAAGTTCATAGATCAAATGATTTTTTGTTTACCCTTTTATAGGAAGACTTTTGATCAGATGACTTGGAGCGAAGCATAGCTGCGGTTGTGATTGATCTTCAAAAAAACATTAATTATTCAGACAAAGCGTGACCCAACAAATATTACATTTCTAAAATCTTTATTTTCTATTATCATTCTAACTGAATAGGCACGAGGAAAAAAAATTGAAAATTCTCATGGGATGGGGTTTTTTTCTATTTTACGTTAAAAAACCTTATCGGGATATGTAGCAGATCAGATCTTCCACAACGAAATTTTTGTATAAAACCAATCTACTAAAAAAACGGTTATTTAATATTTATGCGCATTTAAATTCATGGCTTTTATAAAACTTTTATAAAAAAATCATTTTGTCATAATAACTTGAAGATTATTTATGACAACAATGAATTAGGTTTATAGCACGAATTATGAACAATGTGATCAAAAGGAAGGTTTAAAATCACGTGAAACAAGATTTTCAAACAATAGTTATTTTATGAAACAATATGTAAAATCATCCAATCTTACGTGTTACGGAGGTCAATTCGGTTATTTAGTATGTTTTGTTTTAAAAAAAAAGATACAGCAACCTAATATAATATCAAATTGTTTACTGTTATGTCTTGTGACGGGTCAGTTTGAATCTGAAACAGGGGAAATTTCTCCCCCTTCTGTTGTGACTAGTTTAATTTCAACCTTCCCTTCAAAACTATTATCAGGTTAACCATTCTGCGCAGTAAACCCAACCCTGGATTTTTAAAGGATTTCTTATTTCGGAAACTAAAATTAGGTGATTGAAATGGCTAATGATTTGACGAAACTGTCTTCTAAAGAACAATATGTGGATATTGTTTATTTATTATCCTAGCTTAGCAATCAAGATGAATTATTATTCTATTACGTATAAATTTATAATGTTTAATGGATTAAACTTAAACTAATATATTACAAATAAAAAATGATTTTTATATAAATATATATATTATTCGGATCAGTTTTTTTTTTTATTTATTAAAATAATTTTTTTTTTTTTTTTTCCTTTTATTTTTATTTTATTTTTTTTTTATTTTATTTTTTATTTTTATTTTTTTTTAAAAAAAAGATTTTTGTAAAATTTTTTTTTTTAAAAAAAATGAAAAGATTTTCTTCCACACTTCCTTTCGGTTCAAATCTAAACGGATTTGATATTAATAGGTTTCTTGATGAAACCAAATCAACCGTGACGATATCCGATAATAAATCATCCTTGAAATGGATTCCATATAATGAATTTAGTAACATTAATGAAATTGGTAGAGGTGGATTTGGTGTGGTTTACGAAGCCATTTGGCATGATGCCCCTGAGAAAAAATTCGATCTAATTTGGAATAAGAAAAGAGTCGCATTAAAGGTTTTAAGTAATTCTACTGGTGCTAACCAAACGATGGATTTTTTGAACGAGGTAAATTGAAACAAAAATTTTTTTTTTTTTTTGTATAATTTGTTTTCGTTTACGAATTTCGACTTTTTTTTTTTTTTACGATGGATTTAGCTAAGATTGCATTACCGATGTATGGATTCGGGAAGAGTTCTTCCATGTTACGGAATAAGTAATGAACCTCAAACGAATAATTATATTTTAGTAATGCAATATGCAAGTGAAGGTAACTTGCGAAATTACCTTTCAACTTCATTTGCAAGATTTGATTGGTGGAAAAAAGTAAACATGCTTCGTGACATTATAATTGGCCTTCAATCAATTCATAACGCGGGTTTGGTTCATCACGATTTTCATAGTGGTAACATATTGCGTCATGGCTACGGTAATGATAGTAATAATTTAGATACCTATATAACGGATCTTGGGTTATGTCATCCCGTAGATGAATATTATAAAAAATCTAAAGTATTCGGAGTTTTACCTTATTTGGCTCCCGAAGTTTTACGAGGTGAACAATACACGAAAGCTGCCGATATTTATAGTTTAGGAATTATCATGTGGGAGGTTACCACGGGCAATAAACCTTTTCATGATCGTTCTCATGATCATAATCTGGCGAGTGAAATTTGTTCAGGATTAAGGCCAAGGCTTATGCCTGGAACTCCAGAATGTTATGTTCAAGTAATGCAAAGATGTTGGAATGCGGATCCTTTATTACGTCCAAATATAGATGAATTACTCATCATGTTTAAACAATTTAAAGAAATACCAAATCACAGAACACAGATTGGTGAGGCCGAATTGATTCGTTTAAGTATGATTGAACATGTTTTATCGGAATTTCCTTCGAAGAGGATACATCCTGAAGCTATTTATACCAGTCGGCTACTTGAATTTACTCAACTTCCTCAACCAAGAAATGCCGATCCCGTTTCAATTCAGCAAAGCTCCCTAGTAAATCGTTCAGGTATAGATTTTTTTTTGTGAAGAAAGTTTAAATTGACTTTATTATATTAAATTCTTTTTTTTTTTTTTTGTTGTACTTGACAGTTCATCTCGTCTCTGCATCAGACTTTGGGAAGCTGGCTGCCCGACGTCGTGCAAATAGTGTAACTTCTCATAATCGCCGTCCTAATAAACAAAAGAATAATAGGCGAAGTGTTCAAATTCAAAGTGTCTCGGCCACCTTTAACGAAAAACGATTTAGCAGATCATTTAATAGTGAAGAAGTCGCTGAAAGTGAGTGCATTTCTTCCAAAGTTGCTTCACTTTATTTTACTACCCTTTATTTATAAATGTAAAAACTCATTAAAATTTAGGTATGCGACGATTAAGTCTTTCTTCAGGATCAAAAGGTATTTTATTAGTCTTCACGTGTTTTTTTGCTTCTTTTCTTTTTTTTTTTTAAAAAAAAAATACTAAAATTTTTCGATTTTTGTAATTGTAGATTTAAATGCGATAAATGAGGACTTATTCGAAGAATAATTTACAAAAACAAAAAACTAACATAAAAAAAAATATTAATACATATAATTATTTTCAACCCTTGTACAAAATTCATTATTTATTTATTATGTAAAAAAAAAAAAAGTTATTTGTATTATAATCATAATGTATTTATGTGAAAATAAAAATTAAATATTAATAATTCTCTCGTGGACATGCTTAATTTCCCAATTGTTTTTACGACGTACCAAATCTTGTAAACTGCATTTTTTAAAAAAATAAAAAGGTCTTTTTTTTTTTTAAAAGAAAAAGAAAAACTTCATTCGCGCCCTTCCAAGTTTTACTCAAAGAACCTATTATTTAACTCATCACATTCAAACTAAAAGATAATAATCAAACACAGATATTCTTGATTATGCGGAAAAATCCCCAAAATTATTTTAGAAGTCGAATTTAAAATTGATAAAAGCGAAAATTGGTAATCATCATATTTTCTAGTACGCGTGTATACGACGCGTTTAGTTAGTTACAAATAAATCTATGCAAGTAAAAATATGAAAAAAAAAATTTATTATTTTTTTTTTTCGAAAAATGATTATTAATCGCAAAAATAAATGCGGGTTGGCGCAATAGATTATGAAATATGGATGTTAACATTTTAGTCAAATTATAAATCAAGTTTGCAACCGGAAATAATTCCAATTTTCCAAATCGTAAAAGTCGAATTGGCGTAAAAAAAAAATTGAGATTTTTTTTTGTAATCTTTTCACAATAAAAATCACCTGTATCTTTCTAAATATGTCAATTATATTCATTAGAATGAAAAAAAAAGTTCCTGCATACTTAGACCAATAAGGTTAGTGAACTTTTTATTTTATGTGACAAATAGAAAAAAAACCACACCAGGTAGGAAATCTCAGAAATTTCTCGCATGATTATTATCGGCTGACGATTTGTTTGTTTCATTATCGTTTTATTCATTGAATAATATGACGATATGTAAATCGTGTAAATCTTAAAATCCATAAAATTTTTTATTTTTAAAATCTTAAATTCTTATCGTTATAGTGCCACCATTATAAAAAAAACCTTATTCTTAGAATTTTTTTTTTACCAATTTCTTTTATCAGATCAGCAGTTTTTTTTTTTTTTTTATATATTTAGAAATGCTTAGAAATACTTATCCATAAAAAGAAGTCTTAATTAAAAAAAAAATCATTTGGAACAATCATAGAATTGATTGTGAATCCATTCCTTAAAGGTCGTACGACGGTGATGTTTTAAAATTTTATAGATCGCTGCATCATGTTGAAAGGAAATTTCAATACCAAGTTTATAAAAAAATAAGCTGCACCCCGGATAAAGTATTCGTGGAAGTGGACGTGCTGAAACGATCCCGGATAAGCGTAATGCGTTTGTAACCTCAAAATCCGAGATTTCTGCGGGCATACCCAAATTTAATCGAACGCCTATATATATATATATATATATATTTTTGTAAAAAAACAAAAAATCCTACTTAATATATATATAATGTATTCATATATATCCAAAAGGATTAGAAAATGATTGATTGATCACCTTTGGTTGCAACTTGATATACATGACCCAAGTATGTGTGCGCAACAAAATCTCCGACCACATAATTTCTGTCAAGTTGGATTTCTCTCGACACGATAGTTTCAACTATCAATTGAGCTAAATCTTCTTTGACAGTAATGTTCAAGAAAATAAATTGGTTCGGACTATTGAAAGCGGTAGTGACTGTTGATATGTCGTTTTTAAGTATCTCTTCATCGAAAATGCCAACCTGAAATAGGATCCAACGGGTTGCGTCGGGTTTATTTTTATTTGTCGCCCGATGATTCAATAATAGTTTATGCAATCTGGTTCGTGGACATTGTTTATCCCGCACATAGTGTTCTCTGTAAAAGAATCAATTTTTTTTTTTTAAATACACAATGATAAGATCAGAAAATCAAAAAGGGTCATAAATGTATTTACAGTTCCATTCCAGAATCCCATGTAATAAGCAAAGCAACTCCTTGCTCGGTGCAGGCGTCAAGAAGCATCTCTTGCTTTTCGTAATTATTATACAGTAAGCTAATTACGATTGTTGCGTCTAATAATTTTTTACAAGGAAAAAAATAAGATAAGAATCATCTCAGAGTATTAAACAAAAAGTTTTCAAAAACTACATTGATACTTACTTGATACACTCGATTTGAAATGGTTTTGCGTGGCCTGGGGACATGGTATTTTGATCGCATCAATGTCGGCATTTGCGTACTAAGGTAAGAAGAATAAGCAATGTTAAATAGGTGGGTGTAAAATGAATTAGAAAAAAAAAAAAAATCAAATTTTTTGAACTTTACTACAAGATATTGGTCAGTAGGATAACATAAACGGATTTTTCGTGCGCCACGATTCCGTAATCTGATGACGATCTGCGCTGCCAGTCGAAGATCGCCATTACAGATTAAAGAAACTTCTATATAGCTAAGATCAATGAACTTCATCACGTGTCTCGCGGAGTCTGAATTATTGTTTCATCAATTGCCGACAATTTTGGAAAAGTTCGATTTTTTTTTTTCCTTAATTTAATTTCAGACAAAAAGTATAAGCCTTTTGTGTAAAAATATTACACCTTGGCCTATTTGCTAAAAAAAAAAAAAAAAAAAAAAAAATAATCCAATTTTGCCTCGTTCTACTACTAACACGGCAAGATGACCCAAACTCCTTAATCTATATGTCTTTTTTTGCAATTAAATTCAGATGCCGTTTTCTCTATATAAGACACGTCTAGATGAAAGATCTTATTGAATTGAAAAAAAAAAATCATTGTTGAGATAATAGACTCTTTAAATAAGATCTGTAACATCCGAACTTTATTAGCTTTTCTGGTTAAATAAATATAACGTTAACATTGAAAATAAGAGATAATATCCCCCCTGAAACAAATCAGACGGCGGATCTTTCTTACCAAACTAATAAAATAACGCCCCTATTTAATACCAAGTTAGTTCCTAAATGCACAGACAAACAATCAATATATGCAAAATGGGCCCAAACCATATCATAAGGTATGTGTGCTTCGTCATTGCATGCAAAAATGAACCAAACAAAATAAATTTAAAGTGAATTGTGTGTCACTTTGAAAAAAAAATCCTTTAACATGCGCTCTCCATGATCCAGACCGAGTCGATGCTCTGTACCCGGCTACGTTTCATAATTAAAGTTCATTTTTTTCCCGAATGTGAGTATGCCGAATATCTTGTTCTTCAACATGTCGATCCACGAGGGCGTAAAAAAAAATTTTTTTTGTTTAACAATGCATAATATGATTAACGTGGTGCTTTACATGTTTATTCGAGTTTCCATTTATTCTATGACTTCTCATTGTCTCTCTCTCGATTATTTTTTTCTTTTTTTCTCTTTTTTTTTTGCATTTATATTTAAAAAGTAAAGATATTCAATTCAACATTATACATTTCTATTGGATTTTATAGTAAATTATTAAGTTCTGGAACCTTTATTGAAGAAATTGGGCGTTTGAAATCATTTTAATTTCATCATTTTTTGAATACCCTCATTCAAAATATGATGTAATTGAGTACAAATTACATTCCCCCTCAAATATAGATTTATTCTTACAGTAATACATCCTTTGAACATAAAAAGGATTGATATAACCATCTAAGATATTAAGATATTTTGATTGGAAATGTCAATGAATAAGATATGCGGATTAATCAATTATTTGGTGAAAATCTGTTATTTATTTGGCTATTGTACGCGAGTGATATATAGGTTAGCCTTATTTCTAATTATGGTTTTCATTTATGCGTCACGTCAGTTATGTAGTTTATTTATAAATACGATTTTATTTTCGTTAGAAATAAAAAACAAAACAAAACAAAAACAAATCACAAAACCATGGTATCGTTCAATCCGCCATAAAAGGTCTTACTTTTTTTTTTTTTTTGTTTTTCCTATATTTACTCCAACCCAATAATCATACTGCTTTTCATATAAATGCTTTGATTTTCTGCCAATAAGATATCTCTT